AAACATTTATTTCATTGTTGTTATTTTGTTATTATCAGTATTACTTGGGAGTTTGGCCTCACCTGAGAGTGCTCAGGCTTACTCTTGACTGTGCTCAAGGATAAATCCTAGGGGATCACTCAGGGCTGGGGATTGAACCCAGGTTGCCCACATGCCCTGCCTGCTATACTATCTCTCCAGCCCCTAGGAATCGATTTTTTAAAAAGAAGTATGATAAAAAAAATGGAAAGGAGAGATGAATGGTAACAAAAGATATAAAAGGTAAAGAAGAGATCAAACCTTTATCAAGAAGTCTGAAGTTATAATTAACATAACTTTAATATATACTATTATCCTAATAAAAAATTTTTAATATAGAAGTAAGGGAGTACAGAAATTATTATTTTTTATTTTTTCCCTATATTTATTTATTTATTTTACAGTTGTAAATTTACAATTTTTTGTGCTTTGGTTTCAATTATACAATGATCAGATACCCATCCCTCCACCAGTGCCCATTTTCCACCACCATGGATAATATCCCCCCACCCCCATCCCCCCACCTCCCCTGTCTCTGTGGGAGGGCAATCCCCTGTGTCCTCTCTCTCCTTTTGGGTGTTGTGGTCTGCAAAAGAGGCATTGAGTGGCAAACATGTTCAGTCCATAGTCTACTTTCGACATGCATCTCCCCTCCTGGGAGGATCCTCCAAACATCCTTTATTTGGTGCTCCCTTCTCTATCTGAGCTGCCCTTTCCTCTAGGATACCCGGCTGGCCTCTAAGTTATGGAGTAATCCTCCTGGTGCTGATCTCAGCTATTCTTGGGTATTAATCTCATACTTTTTTACTTTATATCCCCCAGATGAATGCAATCTTTCTATGTCTATCCCTCTCTTTCTGACTCATTTCGCTTAGCATGATACTTTCCATATTGTACCACTTGTATGTAAATTTCATGACTTCATCTTTTCTAACAGCTACATAGGGAGTACAGAAATTATTAAAGGAGCTCCTTGTAAAGGTAAAGGTAAAGGTAAAGGCCCTCCCGTTGATCGTCAATTTGCTCGAGCGGGCCCAGTAACGTCTCCATTGGAGACTTTGTTGTTACTGTGTCTGGCATATCGAATACTCTCGGTAGCTTGCCGGGCTCTCTGAGAGGGGCGGAGGAATCGAACTCGGGTCGGCCATGTTGGCCGCTTGTAAGGCGAACGCCCTACCCGCTGTGCTATCGCTCCAGCCCCTAAAAAAAAAGTAGAGGCGCTCCCGTTTATCATCGATTTGCTCGAGCAGGCCCAGTAGGGCTGGAGAGATAGCACAGCGGGTAGGGCATCTGCCTTGCATGCAGCCAACATGGTCGACCCAAGTTCGATTTCTCCGCCCCTCTCGGAGAGCCCAGCAAGCTACCGAGAGTATTCGATATGCCAGACACAGTAACAACAAAGTCTCCAATGGAGACGTTACTGGGCCCGCTCGAGCAAATCCTTGTAAAGAAATGAGATGGGAAAATAAATGAAAGAGATAATTAAGCAGTAAGACTTATCTTTGGTAAGTAATAAGATGTTTCCAGATTCTTCTAATTTTCATGCTGATTTCTGAATTTTTCCAAATGTTATACCATATTTTGATGCAGAGCAAATTTCTTCTTAACATTAGCATTCTCTTCCTTACTTTATGCACCTACTATAAGAATGACAAGTTATGTTGCTATCTTTTGGTTCATGATAGTTATGTTGCGCTATAGGATGTTTAGTGAATATGAAAATCAGGATTCTTTCTGATATAGTAAATAAATATATTTGTACCCAGAAATGCATACTTTTTCTTCCACGAAATTGTGTTCAGGACTGTTTTCTTTGATAGCAGAACTTCTTTAATAACTTTCTATTTTCAGCTTCCCCCCCCCCCCCCGATAATCCTGAAAAGCAAAACAGGCAAAACTTTTTTATTGACATGTTAGATAGCAGCCATTTTTAAAAGGCCTTGGCCCAAGTGGGGCTTGTCTTGCATGAGACTGACCAAGGTTTGATCCCTGGCAAGGAAGTGGTATCCTGAACCCCACTAGGAATGATCCCTCAGCACAAGGTTATTTAAACCCTTAACATGGCTAGGTGTGACCACAAAACCAAACCAAAACTAAAATGATATAGACCCTCTGGAACAGGTAATAATGAAATAAGTCTTTAGATAGCTTTTGTTATCTTACTTGAAGCTTTCTCCCTAAAAAATAAGATCTTAGAGTAAGAATAATATTTTTTTCAAGTTACACCATGTGAAATCTGTAAATGGCTGTGATCAATTAATGTTAGTTAATTCAATGTTAATTGAATGTTCAATTCTCATTGTTAATTGAATGCTCCATGTTAATAAAACAGCAGAGACTGGCACGCTCCCCGTGCTGTATTCGATATGCCAAAAACAGTAACAAGTCTCACAATGGAGATGTTACTGGTGCCTGCTCAAGCAAATAAACAACGGGAGGACAGTGCTACAGTTCTACACCATGTGAAAGCACTTTTGGCGCCTAGCAAGTGTTAAATAAGGCATGAGAACAGAATGGTATCTTACAAATTTGAATGTTGCTAATAAATAGGAAACAGGCAAGGCAATTGTCATCAAAATAAAGGAACAAACAATAATTCTGAATTTTTAACTACATAGTAAAAAACTGAAAGGTAGTTATCTTACTTAAGGAACAAACCATAATTCTGAATTGTCAAATTTTTATAAGTATATATCCATATATATAGTTAGTCTATTCCAAGTTTGATAATTATATTATTGCCATTTTAAAACTTCATTCTAAGATTTCTTGGTTGCATACTCTGAATTAAAAAATAACTTATGTTAATGAATTCTGAACTATGTTCAGGACCAGAGACATAGTATGGAGGGATAGCTACTTGCCTTTCACATAATCTCCCAAATTCAATCATATGGTTCCCTGAACACTGCCAAGAGTGATCCTTAAATATAAATCCAGGAATAATTCTGGATGTGGCCCCAAAACCAAAATAAATTATTGCCACCTTTTGACTGATTATTATCCATGAGCTAAAGCAGGAATAATTAAAATAAACTGGAATGAGCTAAGACTTCACTAGTAATTCTCAGACATGAAATTCCAGATTAACAGGTGTAGAAAGAAATCACCACCAACATTCACAGCAAGTACACTAATTGCTTAAATAGTGGATAGGATGAATGTTTTAACCAATGGATAGTTTTTATGTTTTCTTTTAATCAGAAAAGCATTTCAGCAGTAAGGTGCTAAACACAGAGGACTCTTCTAAAAGGTAGTGAGTTGTACCTACCTTAGAAATATTGCCATTCATCTTGCTCTATTTCAAAACAGAAAAAAAGACTGTTTCAACCCTATGAGCCCATTGCAATTTTTCCTAATCACTATACCCAAGACCTATCTAAGTTGAGTCACTTTATGATTAGCTGTTTAAATTCAGTACAAATTTCTCTGTTGGTGTCTTATAATATGTAAGAAACTCAAAAAGAAAAGCATGGCTGTCTTATCTTGCATAAGTCACAGAACAGCCTAAATGTAATTTTTTATATGTGAATGTGCATTTTATCAAAAGGATTATAAATTGGTAGTGCTTTTTATTTCTCTCTCTTTTTCCCTTCCTTCCTTCCTTCCTTCCTTCCTTCCTTCCTTCCTTCCTTCCTTCCTTCCTTCCTTCCTTCCTCTCTTTTTTTCCTCTTTCTTTTGTTATAGATGAAGTCCTAGTATTTTTTATGTTTTATGAAAACATGAAACATGGAATGTTTCAATAGACAACTTTCCTGTTATATACTCTGCCACATTCTCTTTGGGGGCAAGTTTGTGACAAGATCTGAAATGGCTAAGAGCAGTTCTCTCTACACTTACTAATCCATGTAAAGGACAAATCTTCTAACACCCTCACCCCAACAAGCCCTCAGTACATGGAGTTGGAAAATTTGGGCTTTCAAATTATTTTATAATTTAAAGATTACACTAAAAATACTTCCCTCTGTCCCCTTTTCAAAATTTAGAGGAATAAATTAATGCTTTATTTATCCAAGGTAAATTAATGCTCATCCTGGTATGTTACATTTGAATACCTTGTAAACTAAGGACTGGTTGAACTTTCTGAAAATGGAATTGAGAAAATGGTAAAAGACTTTCCTCTGAGGAAGACAAGTGTATTATGTACTCTATAAAACATAAATGCTTTTTATTTACAGTGAGCTAGTAGGATGTTAGAGTGCTTTTGCATTCTTTTTCATTTTAATGTGCATTATGCAAGGGGAATACTTTTGAAGAGTTGAGGGAAAGAAGGTTCTCAGTTGAATGTTGTATCAACCCTTAGTTGAAGTAAAGCATCCCAAATCCTTTTGTAACACTACAACACTAACCCATGTTAGAACTAAACATGCAGTGATTTGGAAAATTGCAGAGCCTATAGGTCTTATCCTGAGTCTTGGGTTGAGAGTCCATTCATGATTATGACCCATAAAAGATACCAAAAATCCTAGAAATGTACTTCATTATGATACTAGGAAGTTTTCTTTCTGGTGCTCTGATTTCTGCTTCATTATACTATTTGTTGATCCCACAGAATTATTGTGAAGTTTGATCACTGTTAATGTTTAAAGAATTCCAGGTAAATGAAGCAAAGTATATAAAAGAAATTTCTGTGTTTTTATTTTTTTCTCAACCATTCTGTTATTTAATGGACTCATTTTCTCAGTAAAGTTACATTATAACTGCTTCACAATAAAATTTTTTTGAGTCCAAATCAGTTCCTCAAGATATAAGATAACCCCTGGAAATAAATTATATTTAGGAAACAAACATCACTATGACAACTAAAAGAGTTTTCCATTTGACAAAAGTTATGTATAATATATACATATATATTCTGAGTTCACTTAAAAACTATTTACAAAAACAAATGAATATTTACAACTTTAAATTCAGGAACTAGTTTAATCACGACATTTTGTATGGCATTTTAAAAACTAAATCTTATCTTCACTTCCTTATAGTTTGTTAGAACATAAAATTTTAGAAATGGAGGGAAAGCACAAGGAAGAGTTGGACACCCTAAAAGAAGAGAAAGAGAATCTTCAAGGCTTGGTTACTCGTCAAACATATATAATCCAGGAACTGGAGAAACAGTTGAACAGAGCCACCACCAACAACAGTGTCCTTCAGAAACAGCAGCTGGAGCTGATGGACACAGTGCATAACCTTGTCAACCTTTGCACTAAAGAAGGTGGTAAGAGTTTCTTCCTCACTTCAGTATAGTAAATATCTATTGAACCTAGAACAAGTAAATATTCAATACAGCTTCCTACATTGCACTGATTGCTCTGTCAAGGAGAAAAGAAATTCATTCTTAGAAGTGTTTCATGATGTTTGCATTAACATTTTTCCCATAGTTTTAACTTCATAGAATGTATTTATATGACTAAATTTGTGAATTCATATTAATTTCCTTAAAGAACCTTCTGACTTCTTTCATTTTTGGTCTACATAACAGTAATTAAAATCTACCATACTGTTGGTTATAAGTATTTTTGTTTTTTTAGCCACTTAATAGGAAGGTCCCCACTTTTTCAATTAACACTGATTTTAATAGAGGAAGAAAAAAAAAGAGTTCCTTGCAGAGAAAAGGAGATAGTTATTTTCTCAACAATTACTTTGGAGAAATAATATTTGTTATTGAAAATATGTATTAAGGTCACTACGCTTAGTCTTGTGTGGAAAAGACACAACCAGAACATCTAGACACATTTACTCTGGAATTTTGTAACAGTGGAAATACAAATTTGTATTTTTAAAATTGTTGTAGTCTAGATCACATTTTTATAATAGTGTCAGCTTTTCTGGTTTTTATTTGGCGGGGGCAGATTAGGATACAGAGCTTCTCAGGCATCGAGTTTCCAGATATTATGTGGCTACCCCAGTGGTACCCCAACAAATTGAACTGGAATAGGCAGCATGCAAGGCATGTATATAAACCCCTTTACTATATGTCTGGCCTCAACTTTTGCTGGATGAGGTACATATTTACTGTACCTTTATTCCCACCAAAATGTCCAAAATTTCTCACCACAGTACTAGGTCATTTCTGGTCTGCCCCTTCCTGTACTGGTCCCTGCCCCCCACCTCCTGACATTCCCATTTTCTCTCTCCAGTGCTTATTTATTTGTTTTTTAATCAAACACCAAGAATTTGTCATCATTAAATATTGTCTATTCCCTTGTTTTGTTTGTATGCCACAGATGAGATCTTTGCCCTACTGCTTACTTCCTCTAGTTTCATCCAAGTTTCTGCAAATGGCTAGATTATGTTTCATGTTAGAGTTGTGTTAATACTCTTTTGTCTATATATACCACAACTCCTTTATCCGTTCATTCATTGCCAAATATTTGGGTTGTTTCCATATTATAGCAGTTATTCTTTATTCTGCAGGGAGCATAGGTATACATATCTCTTTTCAAATTAATGTCTTTGTCTGTGCTCTTTCTGATATATGCCATTATCACCTGTGAGATGATGTCTTTCTATTTTGATTTGCATTTCCCTCATTGAAAGCAATAATAAATGCTAGACAGTGGAAATACAAATTCTTGGCATCATTAAATTATAGCCATTTTACTACTAAAAATGTTACGAGTGCGTATCTTTTTAGAAGATATCCATTTATCTTTCCATCCATCTGTGCTGCAATTACCAAATGAGTTTCCCTGTGTGCACTTGTCTATATTAAGTAGAACCACTTTTCAACCTTAAGAGATGTCTTCAGTTTGGAGCTTAATGGTGTCTTCTTTAGTTTTGCTCTTTAATCATTCTTTCTCTAAGTGAGGATGGAATAGTAAACGGTGATGAATAGTAAATGGTGATCGAATAGTAAATGGTGATGAACACCACATACATCTGAGAATTATTGTTGTCATCAAGCTGTAGCTTATGGGATCATTCATGAAATGACTCTGTGTATATGAAATATACTAAAGTGGAGGCTCCTTTAAATTGATAGTGGATTTGAAAAATAGCTCAATTTCATATTTTCATATCTAGATAAGAAAACAGGATAATTCTGTATTAAGTGATCTTATTTTAAAGACATTTCATGTTTATCTATTACACTCAATTACCTTGAGTTATATCTTCTTAAGATAGTCTAAACAAGCCCTTAATATATTCTGTAAAGAATTTTTTTAAAAAAAAAGTGCGTTCCCAGAGCTCCATTTGGGCGTGCTCAGAAATGTGATTGGGAAGGAAAAAACCTGCTAATCAGCCAGAGTCTGCCAAAACCTTGAGTTAGAGTCTACTGGAAGGAAAGCATGGTAGGATTTTGCCAGAGAATTTTAATAGCGCTCATGAGTATTTAGAAATTAAGTACTAATATGAGACATATCTATTCTCATATTGAACTGAATACATTTGGGGAAAGATTGAAAACATATTTTTCTTATCATCCTGAGACTTAAAGCAAATAGAGTTGAGACATTTTTTCAGAATGTTAGAAATATCAAGCCCTGGCGATTCTCACAGAGCTCATATGTCTGCCTACTTATCATAATTTTACTACTTTTCTAAGTATTTGTCTAATAAACATGTCTAAACTTAGGAGCAGTTAGTGGGGAGGATGAGGAATAACTTAAAAGTTTAAATCCCTGACTAGGTTTGGTGTTTGCGATGTCAAGCAACCAATATCTGTTCAATTATGAAGGAACATTTATTGAACAATTACAACGGCATTCCCTAAAGATGCTACTCAACATTCCTTAGGGTATGAGAAAAGTGTGTCTATTCAATGATATACCATATAAAAAATACTCGAAACAGAAATTGACCAAAACTATAGGCATCTAGGGATTATTTTCTTTACAGTAATACAATCTAAAATAAATTGTGATTTAGATGCAGGACTGTTTTTTCAATCTTAACATAAGTATACTGTTCTATTTTGCAATGAATCTTGGCTTTTATAAATATTTCTGTTTTGCAACAAATCTTGTGCTTTTATAGATGAAGCTTTTAGTTGCATCTTGCTGATATTTTTTTCTTAATATCACAACTAAAAAGTATGCTTCCTAAACATTTAGTCATTTCAGGTGTTTTTGCTTGTTTGCTTGCTTGCTTGCTTTTGACCTTTTCAGAGGGCCCAGAGATCACTTCCAGTGATATTTTGTCAACTGAATTGGTGTTTCAGCGCTAGGACCCAAAACATTGTGCTGCTAAGACCTTCTGATGCTGGAAATTCCAAAGCATACTCTGGCAGTGCTTCCAGGGCCACTTGTGGTGGTGCTCTGTGCCCAGGAACCTCCAGGATTTTGCTTAGCATTCTCAGGAGGCCATTAAGTGCCAGGTATTGAACCGAGTTGTCACATGCCAAGCAGGTGGCCAAACCACTGGGCTATGTCCTAGCCCCACATTGAAGAACTCTTAAGAAATAACCAACATGTGTAGTGACTGTCACTAAGATTTTCCATCAAGATTTTATTATATTTTATTTGCGAGAAGTTGGCCACCCTCAGTGGTGCTCAGGGGCTATTGCTGGCTGATGGCCACCATCAGCAATAGTTACTCTAGTTACTCTTAGAGTAATCTTTAGCAGTGCTCAAGGGAACCACACGTGGGGCCAGTGATTCAAACCAGTGTGATAGCTGACAATGCCACATGCAAGGCTGGTGCCTTATATCCTACTATCTCTGACCTTCCATCAAGATTGACGTATAGAATCAAACGAACATCTTTATGTTCACTAGAACTATAGTCTTCAGTAATGGAAAATTTAAATGACTACTAGTGTAATACTGGATTAAATGTTATTAAGTTGACATTTATTATTTCTGTTTCTAATTCTACAAATCATACATTAAACTCTCACGTCTTCACTCTAGTGAACAAATAGCCATTTATCACATGGATTTATAATTAATTTTAAAATTGCTTGTAAATATTCTATTTTTAAATATTAACACATGTAAAAATAATACAGTAAATGATTAATTTTTAATATGTGTATTTAATACACTCAGAGAGTAGTTCTCTGGAATATTTTCTGAAAGCATTATTTAATTACAATCCAAGAAGGCAAAAAAATCTTACTGAACTTAATTCTGTTTCCAACTCTATTCTCTCATGTATGGAGACTGTTGTAATATAATACTACAAAGCAAGGGAATTTTTTTTCAGTGTGATTTTTCTATCAATGGCAACTAATTTTACCTCTATGAAGGCTGTTTCAGCATTCATAAATTCTTTGTAATTGAATCTTCAAATGGTAGGGAATTTCTTTCACTTCACAGTGATAGGGAAAGGATTACTCCAGATACCACATATAGAAGCAAGTAGCACGTGCCTCTGTCTATAACATGGCCGACCCGAGTTCGATTCCTCTGCCCCTCTTAGAGAGCCCGGCAAGCTATGGAGAGTATTTCGCCCCTACGGCAAGCTACCCATGATGTATTCGATATGCCAAACACAGTAACAACAAAGTCTCCAATGGAGACGTTACTGGGCCCGCTCGAGGAAATCAATGAACAACGGGAGGACAGTGACAGTGACAGCGACATGACGTAGTTGACCTTTATTTTAGCCTTCCCCCCCCTTTCAATTGACAAAAGAGTTCATTAAACTCACATATTAAGTGCTATATGTCAGAAGTATTTCTTTCTTGGAAAATGGCTGAATATTATTCTCAATAAGGTCTGACTAGACATAGTGATCTAAGCAGCAATTCTTAGCCTTAATTTTCTTTTCTCTAAAATGTGATGATAATAGACATTTGGTGAATCTATGATAAATTTAAGTTTATGCACCCATAGATCGGTGCCTATCCACTATAATTACTAAAACAAATGCATTTATTTTTTCTGTAATTTCTAAAATGCTTATAACTCACTAAAATTACTTTTCAAAACTTTCCTCAGAAGTATTGGCTAGAAATGTGTCCATTCTTTAAACATCGTTTTGGTCCAGGAACTGTAAATCTATCTCTGCCTGGAGTGTTTGTGTTCAGTTTTATAAAACTTTTCTACTAAAACACCTAATGTCATGAGACACATTTATGGCAAAACAAACAATAAACACATTTTCTAAAATAATTCACTCGTTAGGTGAATTATTATTTCAAATAGGCAGTCACTCATACAAATAGCGATTTTAAAACCAGTGTTTCATTTGGTTTTTGAAAGACTTCCGGGTGACACTGTTATTTTTGTCTAACCTTTGTCTGAAAACATTTGGTCACATTTATTCTTA